GTGCTCTTCTCCCGCGCACCGCCGCGTGCAGCACCATCCTCTCTTCCTCGTTTTTCCTCTTCTCCTTCCTCCTCTCCTTTCTCGGCTGCTGACTGATGGTTGTCGTGACCTTCTCCCTCTTTTTTCCTCTCTTTCTCTTTATTCTTATACCGATCGGCTTCCCTCCACTTAATTTTTTTAAGAAGGGGCGGGAGGAGTCCTGCATGATTCGTCTTTCTCGTCATGCCAGTCTCCTCCCCTCATTTTCCAGTCGATGGCAGAGGTGTACACGCTTCTGCCTCTTCACCTTCCCCGACCATAGGCAAATGCCTGGTTTTTTTTTTCTTCTTACCTAAAACGGTGTTGTTTTGGAGTTTTTTTCAAAACAACGTCGTCTTGAATCTATTACATATTCAACATATATTAATATTTCCTCTCTACTGCAGAATTTTCTTGTAGAGTTTTCACACAAGAAAATTAATGCAAGATCTCATTTTCATTAAAGACAGTAGTAAAGAATGATTCGCATGTATTGTCTAACTTTAAAGCTTTGAAATGACAATTAAATTTTTTTTTATAACTATTGTGAAGAAAAGTGAAACTACAATGATGACATCTGACTTATTCTTAAGAAAATATATTCAGGTGAAATGTGTACAATCATCAATAATTGTAAAAAATAGTCCCCATTTGTAACAACGTACAAAATCAAATAGGTTTTGGGACATATTATTGTGAAACCTAAATAGTAAATGTTTTATTTGGAGAGAGGACAAACATGACAAATGTCTTCATCCATAAACCTAAAATTGAGAGAATGTAATTTGGATTTCAATAATTCAAGCATAGGAAAAGATAAATATTTTAACATCTTACATCATACTCGAACAGTAACTTATTAATGAAGATAAGATCCAGAACTTCATTATTTTGCTCCATGAAGTATAGTTATTTTTGATGAGTTGTTGAGACGCTAGTATTAAACTAACATTATCTGAATGATGTAAAAAGAAAGGATCAGTTGGATTCCTTAAAACTGAGAGAGTAGATTTTGCATGGTTTTTGAAGAAAATGGAAGGGAAATAAGAGGATAGAGAATAAACAGGGAAATTATCGAGAAAGAAAAATCTTATTTTGATATCATACTACCGAGTAAAAAAAAAAAAAAGATCATTTTTCTTAATCAAATACAACAAATATGTATAGATATATCATTAAAATTAATGATAAAGGTAATCTAATTAAAAAAAATAACAAACAATTAATTAATTTACACCTCTAATATGATAAAACATCAATTATTAATAGCGACACATCAATTAATCAACGACAAAGCATGCGGTATTAGTCATTCGTGAAATAACTATGGGCATGTATGAAAGAGACCCAAAGAGTATCTATACATATACTTGTAATTAAATATATCACTCTCGATGGGTCAAGCTTCATATATTTTCAATCAAACTAATTAAACAGCAATTAACTCATTTCACATATTATTATATTATAAAAAGTTACAACTCCACTAAGTGTTATCTTTTCAAAAAATTTAAAATAAAAAAAAAAAAGATTTGCGCACAGTTTTTTTCTCTAGAAATTTTTCTAAAACAAAATGACATAGTGAATTATTCTCTTCACACCTTGGAATTGAATTCAATGCCAAAATTTTAATTATTTTTTAATAAAAATAGAGTATTAAGTGAAAACAAGCTCATTGATTTTGAGAATTTACAAGATTTTATTTTTAATAAAAACAAGTATACATTTTTCTTTTATTAATTGTACGAAATCAAAGTATAGAAATCCACGTCTAACACTAATATGGGTTAAATGATTTATATATTTTCCGCAACTTGAGCGCAACCTATTCATGATTATCAAGCTTAGAGCATCGCTCTTAGAGTTAAGTTTATGTTACTTAATTGTTTTCGAACGTACATGAGTTAACATAAGTAGTAAGATAATTTTTTTTAAAAAAAATAATATTGATCTGAAGTAACTAATTTATTATTTTTAATTTAACACTAGTTATATAACTATAATTAATAATTCAACACTAGTTTTTTTTTTCTCTAAGAATAATTTCTTGAGGAATGAACGTAGAAAATTCTAGCATGAGTTTAAAGAAAGCAAAACACTATACACAATACACTATCCGCCATAGACGTGCAAACCCTCAACTATTCTTTCAGGATTTTGACGTGAAAGGGATCAAACCTCTTCAAGTGTCAAATTTAATCAATGAATTTCTTTGAAAATTATCACCAATCCATATAAGCACTATACACTAATCTTCGACTCACAAAAAGTTTTGTAAATACTAATTTTTTACACATAAATGTTAATAATTTGTAAATATATAGATGGAATTTATACATTAATAATAATAATATAATTAATAATCTGAACTAATGAAAATACATTTTTTTTAAAAAAAAATTTAGAACACATCAAATCCATAGTCAATAATTCTGATCTGTACCCTTATAAATAATGGTGAAGATATATTAATCATTTAACCAAAGAATAATTGGTATTTAAAAATTAACAAATTATTTTTAAAAAATCTAATGAAATAATTAAATTACTAAAACTTAACTTATGATAA